GCCAAAAGACTCTTACCATGATGAGATATATTTGGGATCAAACAGAAAGTCATTACCAGTTCATTGTCAAGGCGACTATCTCTCGGTTGGAAGAATCAGACGAGAGTGATGACCAGAACGAGGAAGCACAGGAAGAAGAATAAGAAGGTCAGGTAGGCGTACATCCTATGGAGGTTGATGACCAATATGATAATGGGTGGCTAAACCAATCACCTCACTTGGATCATGAGGATGACCAAGGGTGGGGCGCTTGGCAACATACAGGATGGACATCGTTAGGTGCCAACTATATGCCACAACAGAATTGGGAGTGTCAAGACACTTCAACCTGGAGCTATGAGCCTCAACCATCCCCGCATCCGCAAAAACACTCTGATGAACTCCTCAACATGATGAGGACTATGCAGCTTGAGCAACGTTCGTTCATGACTGCCCAGGATGAGCGGTTCTCTCAACTGTAGAGCCAATTTCAAACTCACACCGAAAACTGTAATGCTCTTTCATCTGGTGTCATGAGGAGGTTGGATGGGATTGTTGAAACAGCAGCAAGTCAACACATGGCTCTTACCACCAGCTTCAACATACTCAATAGAGCTGTCTTGGAGTACACTGAAAGAGCTGATGCACAGCTGCCTCCGGAGTATCCCTCTCCAGGACGTGGCTATCATTTCAGGGGGAGGAGACCCTGAAGATGTCTTGCATACTGCATTTTGTATCTTATCCCATTATCTGTTCATTAATGTTTTGTTTGTTGTTGAATGGTTTATGTACTTATGTGTGTTTAAAGACATGTCTATTGTTCATGACTGAGATAACAAATCTTATTATTGTTCTATTTTGCGTGGCTCTATTTATCCAATTTATGTGTTTTCATTAACTACATTGTATGTGAATGTCTGTTAATGTATAACTTGTTGCGAGTGTCTGGAACTTGCGTCTCTCTTTACTTTTATACAATTCATTGACATGTTGTTTCTTTCTTTTTGATGTTGTCAAAGGGGGAGAAAAGTATCAAGCACAACGGTAGAAACATAAAAATCACAGGTGAAGACCTAGTATTCATGCAGAAGAGTGTGTATGGACGAAGGCATCAAGTAAGGGGGAGGATAATATGACACATCATACATAAAGGTTCTATTGTTCTTCCATCATAAAAAAATAAGAGTATGTGAGGGCAAAGCCTCATAGATAGATGTGCTCGTTTCGATGATGTCAAAACTCAGCTCCATAGAAAAATGTATGTTGGACGTTGTCACCATGTCATATTCGCATGTCTTGTCTCTCATAAGTCAAACACTCGTCAAAAATATGATTATTGCATATAGAGATAGCCAAATCTATGTTTCATATAGGTTTGGCCTAGTTAGTCTTTCTTGCCATACTATAGGGTTCATCAAAAGTGTCTTAATGCATGAAAATTGGCATTTTTGCCTATTTCAGGGCTTTGAGTCGATTCAAAGCTAGCCCTGGTCGACTCATACAACTAGTCATTTCAATGAACTACTATCAGGAGGACTCGCGTCGACCCTCCGATCGAATCATACTGTGACCATTTGAATTTGTCTAAATTTGTATGTTGTGCATCGATGCATGGCATGCTCCAGTCAACGCATGGTCCTGTTTTTTACACAATCATATACGGGTAAGCTCAGGTCGACCCCCTTGCTGCATAGGCCGACCGCTCGTTGTGTTGAGTCAAAATTCTATTATGTCAAGCTATTTTGGGAGTCTGTAATGTTTGTTAAGTCAGTTGTATCTTGTATATAAGTTGAGTTGTGCTATTCCTTACACATTAACTAAGAAAACAAGAAAAGTGAAATTTACGTGTCGATTTGTTCTCATCATCTTCATCCTCTTCATATTATCTCACAACAATTACACATAATCATTTTTGTTGTGCATTGTGCATGTTCGAGGTGATAACGTCCAAAGCCTAAGATTGGTGTAATCAAGTTTAGGTTGAGTAATCGACAGGTTTTTCTTGAATAAAGCCGTTAGGGTTTTGTCCTCAAAGAATCTCGGATTTTGGGTTTTTTTTGCACGAATCGGTCCATCACAGATTCAGCCGAGCGAAGGTAATCGAAGAGCGGGAGGTTCTATCGGTTTAGTAGCGGTAAACAGAGGATTGAGAGGTGAAGATTCAGATTCGACACGTGGGTGACGAAAATTAACTGAGCCAGATTTGAATACCGCTGGTTGTTCAAAAAGAGTGTCGTAATCGAAGGTTTACTCACCGCGTTCGAAGGACTTGATTCAACTTGAATCAAGGGGCAAGAAGAAATAGGCTCTACAACAACAAATTGTGTTCGATTGTTTGATCTCTATTTGCTTCTTGTATAAACATTGACCAACAAGTTATATCTATCTATATACAGGTCTTAATTCTATTGTTAGAATTGAGGGCAGACGTACCCCGAGCGAGGACGACGAGGGAACTGCCTCAACAAATCGTTGTGTCTTTTTCTTTACGTTTATATTGCTAAATTTCTGAGTTTCTTAGTGCAAACGATTGTGTCAATCAAATTCTGATTTGAGTTGTACTGAACTATTTTTAAGATGATTATAATCCTTGATTGTAATAGAAAACTTGAGCACTCTACTCTAAAAATAGAATTCACTTGTAGTGCCGTGCACTCCAAGTGTTTGATCAATTGTGTGAACTAAAAACTATTTTGTTGTCTTTTCAAATTGTCTATATTTTAAAGGCATTGGAACTAGTCACACATTATAGTGAACAAAATCTGATTGAAGTGTGATTAAAGTAGTGATTCTCATATCTCGTTTATCAAATTCCATAGGCTTTACGCATATTCGGTTTTCTAGTAACCGTTTGTTATAGACGAGTATAGTTCCTTGGCCGCTTCCACCTTAAACATTTTCAAAAACAATTTTTGGTAGCGCCGACTCTGTGTCATATACATAACATATATGTTATCATTGTCAAGAATGTAGGTGATCTCAATCCATGATTTTTCGAACGGTTCTTTACATTTCATGTCCATCGATGAACAAACGTTATAATCGCTCTACTATATAAGAGAGGGACACATGATTTTTCAAGTACTTTTTGAATTCAAATTCCATTCACTAATCTTTTTTTCATATTGACTTAAGTGTTAAAGTTCTAACGTTGGAGATCAGTCTCTTTTCCACCGCATCGAAAACGCAAGTCCACTATTACAATCAACATCCATCGATCACCAAACAATTGTAGTTCCACACAAATATATGTGTGTGCGCGCGCGCGTGTGTGAAACCCGAATTAATCAAATGAAATAATAAATCCAACTTTATTTTATATGTTTATCACTATGATATAATAATCCAGGCAATGTTAGAGGTGTTCAAATTTAAACTCATTCAAATAAAAACTACAAACCGATCAAAATATCAAAATTGCAACAACAAAAAATATATTATTATTATGCGTGTATTGGATATCATTTTGTAAAAACCACTTGATTCAAAACAAATTTCAAATTGATTTTTCAAAACGATCCAAACCGAACACAATCGCGTTATATATTTTTATATTTATTTACTTTTTATTAATATGTGTTATTAATTTATTATTCGATGACATTATTTTTAAAATATTATTTACTAATTCAATTTTATTTTATTATTTTATTAGTTTTAACCAATCATTTTTATTTTTGTAATATTACTTTTTAATATATTTTATATATTAGAAAAAAGGTGATGCACTGGTAAATTTGTTTTATGATACCAACCAATAACAATTATGCATCCCACTAAATCATATTGAAAATTTTAAATTAATGAGAATGAGTGTATAACAACTAAACTCTTTATATATTACATCAAATTTATTGCTCCCATTTTAAAATGACTGTGGTTTTAAGAGAAAATTTTTATTTCAAAATAAATGTCATTTTCACTTTTTAATGCAGTAATCATTGTTATTTTTTCAATTGTAATATTTTTGACAATATTATTGCGTTCTTTAATCTGTGTGAAAAAATATTAAACGACAATCATTTTGAAACAATTAAATATTTATTAAGATTTTATAAATAATCTTTAAATCAGATGTATTTTACCTCAAACTCGATTCAAATTATATCAGGAACACCCATTCAAAATAATCCTTTTAGACAATGTTAAAATTTAGTTGGCTTAATTGCAAATATGGTCCCCCTATTTTGTATTTTTTTGGTTTTGGTCCCCCTATTTTAAAAACTGCGATTTTGGTCCTTTTTTAAGTTTTGAGTTTTATTTTAGTCCTCTCTCCAATTTTAATTTTTTTAATGATGTGGCACTATCTAAGATGACGTGTCTAATGCCAGATCATTTTTAAAAATTAATTTAAATTTTTTTATTAACTAAGATAATTAACTTATTAATATTATTTTAATTAATTATTAAAATAAGGCTAAAACAAACACCATAATTTAATTGTGGGTTAGAAAGATGGACTAAAGACATGGATCAATAACTAAAGGTCTAAAAAGTTTTATTTAAAATTTTGATTAATTAATTAATTATAAAAATTAATGATAAAGTATTAATCATTGATAAATTAAAATAATATTAATAAGTTAATTATCCTAATCAATAAAAAAAATCTTATATTAATTTTTTAAAAATAACCTGACATTAAATACATCATCTTCGATAGTGCCATATCATTAAAAAAAATTAAAATTAGAGAGGAGACTAAAATAAAACTCAAAATTTAAAAAATAAACTAAAATCATAGTTTTTAAGATAGGGAGATCAAAATTTAAAAAAACACAAAATAGAAGAAGCACAGTTACAATGAAGAGAATTTAATTTTTATGAATATCAAATACTTCGAGCTTCAAAATCAATCACAACGCATGACCCCTTCTGCTACTATCCACCACGTGAGTTCTTTTTGCCCACTTTCGTTTCTTAATGATTCTTCCCCTTTCCCCTTACGATCTAGGGTTTCTGATTCTGATTTATTATGTTTCAGCTTTTCTTTGTTATTTAGGTTTTGAATAATCAAATTCATGGCTTTCAGAACAGTAACTAAAAGGTTGGGGAATAAACTTTTTCCACCGTTATCTTCCACTTCCAGGCTACTACACTCTCATGCCACCAGTTTCGGTTAGTTGCATTCTAATTTTCGTTTTTCTGTTAAAACAAATAACTTTACCTTGTTGAGCATTGAGAAACTGCTTTGATTCACATTTCCAAAAACAATTAGGTTTCAAACATGTAAACGAAGAAGAAAAGGCGCGCATGGTCGGTGATGTGTTTACGAGTGTTGCTGCGAATTATGATACCATGAATGATCTAATGAGTGCTGGATTGCATAGATTATGGAAAGAAAGGTTGCATACATTACATTGTACATTCTATATAATCGTTTTGATTTTTGTCCTTTCTGTTTTCATTGTTTGGATTTGAAGGCGTGCAGGGTATCCCACGCCCGTTTTCGTCCAATCACTGATTTTCAATTATCATAGATGCTTACGTGTCAATGTCTAGTGGTGTTTGTGTTTGTGTTTGTCTTCGTAGGATTTAACATTATTTTGTATTTTATGCTCAATTTCTCAGGCTAGTTTCCATGCTGAATCCTTTTCCTGGAATGAAGCATCTTGATGTGGCTGGTGGCACAGGTCTGCATCCTTTACACTCATCTTTAAACTCTTAATAGTTTCTAAAGAATCTAAAACATTACAATGAGTGGGGTGATTGAAATTATTGTAGTAGTACTAGTAGTTGTAGTAGTTAAATAGAAAGAAAGATAGAAGGACTGATTAATGTATGATAACTTGAGATACCGATAAATAAGGGTAATATTAGACAAAGCAATCAAATACTATCTTGATACCTTCAAATGATAAACAGTTTGAGATGAGTTAATATTCTAAAAGATTGAAATTTGAAGTAAATTGGTGCAGTCTGGAAAAATATGTAGAGTATGGATGGAAGAAGTTAATGACTTATGGATTGGTGAAAGGGATGTAGTTAAAAAGGACAATCTGGTGCTGTGAAATTCCTATCATGGGGAGGTCCAGTTAATGGTTGGAACCATTTGTCAGGATCTCTTGATTATTCTTAGCAGTTTTACTTTCCGTCTTCCTAGTCACACAGTCTCTCTCGTAGAGTGCAACTGTATTATTGTTTAACGTAAAAGCTTTGTTCTGCCCACCAAGGTTGTCAAAATCGGGATCTTGCATAAGATCGCGAGAGAATAGTAAGATTGTAACTAAGATCGAAAGATCCTACTCAATTATTTTTGTAAGATCAAGAGGGGGAAGCAATATTGTTAAACATAAGGTCGTAAAAAAATTTGTAAGATACTACTAAAACGAAGAATTATACTATATATTTGAAGTATTTTTACATGATATTTTGGTAGGCAAGTGTATTAGAGGGAAAATGAATGCTGCCAAACCGTAAATGTTACTCATATGTCATTTGTCATCATTCTCGGCATGTAATGGTGGTGGCCGAAAAATAGTTGATCATGGCCGGAACTGGCCAAGATCACACATAATCAATGGTTTCTAAATTTGGCTACAACGCACGATGCTACTTAAGATCTGGATGGGTTGAGTGGGATCGTAAAGTTGTAGATTGAGATTTTGACAACCACGGTATTGTATTAATATGTAGATAATTTAAGTGATACTTCTGCTTCATATAGAGGCAATTAGTTGCAACTTTTTATTTGTGTATCAAACAGATGAAAGCAAGTATTAACTTTGTTTTAGAAAAAAAACAATAACAAACTGGTTCATAATCATTAATAAGCTTAAGGGCTTTCCCGTTGAGCTTAAATTTCTTTATTTTACAGGGGATGTTGCTTTTAGAATCTTGGATAACATAAACAGAGTTAAGCAGAGAGGGCTTCCAAACGCTCTTAAAGATTCTCTAGAGTCAGAAACTCAGATATATGTATGTGACATTAACCCAAACATGTTGAATGTTGGCAAACAGCGGGCCACAGAGAAGGGTAAATGAGAATGCCTTAGAATGAACACTTTGAGCTTTCATGAAGGATTTTTGTTTAATTTATCTTCATTTGTTAGTATTGAATCGTGATTGTTTTTCTGCTTATTATGATAGGTTACGGAGAGGACGGTTCCCTTGTATGGGTGGAGGGAAATGCTGAAAGCTTAAGTTTCCAAAATGATTCAATGGATGGTTACACTATTGCATTTGGGATAAGAAATGTTACACACATCGAGAAAGTTCTTGGCGAGGCTCATAGGTTGGTTTGCACTTTTTTACAAAATCTTACGACATATCAGCTAATTGAAATCAATTAAATTTGTGCTGAATTTACAGTTATATTTATCATTTGTTTAACAGGGTATTGAAACCCGGCGGCAGGTTCCTTTGCCTTGAACTAAGCCATGTTAGTCTTCCAATATTTAAAGAACTGTGAGTATCATTTGCTCTATTTTTGTAAGAATGATGTTTACTTTATTGATGTTTTACATGTGAAATGGGAGAATATATATGCTTTGTACATAAAACATAATTGAAGTTTACATGAAACTTTTTCATCTCCTTTTTACTTTCATGCTTAAAATTTTGGACAAGAGAATATAGTTTATTATGAGGATAAAAACAAGAGAAGCTGTCTTGGGGGAGGATAAGAAATATATCATTAATAAAAACTCCTGAAACAGGCATAAACAAGGCACTAGAGAGTTGTGTGGTGAAAGTGATATCCTCGAAAATAGAGGGATTCCTCGGCAACCAAATTTACTCATGAACTACATAAACTGCACACTGCCATAGAATCATATACTCTTCTTCGATACTTGAATTGGATATAACTCTTGATGCTACTCTTTTTCTCTTGCAGGTATGACTTATATTCTTTCTCGGTTATTCCACGCATAGGAGAGATGGTTGCCGGCGATCGAGAGTCCTATCAGTACTTAGTAGAGAGTATCCGGCGTTTCCCCCCACAGGTTATAATTCTTCAATCTATTGATAGGTGTAAGATCACATATACATATACTCATTTTAGGCTAATTTTATTGTGCCAATTACAAATCCAAGTAAAATATTGAACATGAAAAAACTTGTCACGAAATTATTGGCTTTTTATTTAGCAGTGTATTCTGTTCTGAGTTATCTTTTTTCTGTATTGACTAATGTTTATAATTGATGGATTGCAGGAAAAATTTGCGTCAATGATTGCTGATGCAGGGTTCCAAAAAGTAGAGTATGAGAATCTAGTTGGGGGAGTGGTTGCCATCCACTCAGGGCTGAAAATCTGATGTGATATTTATGAACTTAAACCCTTGCTTATATAATAATTCATACATCTTTCTTAACTGTTTATAAACAAGTTCTTGATGCTACTAGAACTGGTAGAGTTTGTGAGAATTGTGAGAATATGAAGTGTAATTTCTTTCATTAATATATGGCGTTTGCAATTCTTTTCCTGAGACTTGAGAGTATTTTTGAAAAAGGGGATATTTAGTTGTAATAAGAAAAGTAGCTGTATTTATACATTTTTTTATCCGAAAGTAAGAATTTTATACAGATGTTGATTTTATCACTTACATTGTTAAATGATCAAACTTTATTAAACTGATGAGGTTATATTTGTAAAGCTGTACAACACTGTAAAGCTATACAACACACCCAAACAAAAGCACCAGCAAGTTGAAGCCTAAAAACACCCTAATAGGAACACTCCTAAAATGCATCCACTAACATCATCCTATCTGAGCGCCAAACCGAAACAAACAAACAGCAGAAGCAACAGGTCAGATTAGCTTTACTGCTACACCGCTTTCCAATCTTCCACACCTTGACAACTTCAAATTAACCAAAACAGTTGGATACTGATCCCCTAAAGGTAGCATGTGCCATTCGTTCCACAGCCTCGACTCGATCACAACTCCGCAATGACAGAAATTGCACTACTGTCTAGACAGATCGGAATCCTACGAGGAAATGAAAAACTCAAGATTCGTATCAGAATAGTCATAAGCTGGCAGTTGCTCGAAACTCCGAACTGAAACATCTTTCCACTAAACACAGAAATGGGAGCGAGATAGAGCTACAGACGACATGCATGAGCTACTAACATACATAACAATCTAAGCCTTAGAAACAAAGCCAAACCAGATGAAAATCACTACAGAATGGTATCCAGCTCTTCTAGCACAAGGTTGATGAAAATCACTACAGAATGGTATCCAGCTCTTCTAGCACAAGGTTGCTCATGTCAACTTTAACCACATAAGCCAAACCAGTTGAAAATCACTGCAGAATGTTATCCAGCTCATCTAGCAAAGTGATAATCATCTGCCAATTAACGACTCCACTACTCCGAGATCACAACAGCCAGAGCTTCATAGCAGACTGCAATTTACATCCACTACATTACACCAAATTAAAACAACCATAGGACCCATCACCTGAAAAAAAATAAATCTAGGCCTATATGATACTTCTCCAATATCTGCAACATCCACACAAGTTCTGATAGATACTCGGATCAGCAAGCCATTCCAATACTAAATAGAATCAGAACAATTGTGATAGACCAAATAAAGCTATCAGATACTGCATAATTCTGTGCAAACAACAAATGCAACGCTCCTATACCGAACCAAAGCCTTTCCCGGACACCACTCCCGATCACCTATCCGAGAATTAGTTTGGGGTTCAAGTACCATTGAGATAAACAACAATTTAGGAGCTTAGATTTTGTGTTCAACCAAATCCACGACATCCTCTGAACACACTACTCTGACTCTGATAACTATAATTCTTCTGCTGCTAAGAAGAGCTTCAAATTGATTATATGATCCGCACAATCTTTTGGCAACACTGAAATTATGCCAGACCAACAAATAACATGATACCAATTATATGCAGGGGTGAAATCGTCTAAGCTAGGCTTTGCCATGTCTGAGTCTGGACTGCTAAAAAATTAAAAACTTTAAGTCTAACTTATGATTTATTAGAAGTTCATTTTTCAGTCTGAGTTTGACTTTTTTAAAGGCCAGACTAATCTATTAGCCTACTTAAAAATTCTATATCAGTTGAACATATATAAATAAACAATTCAACAAATATTTAAAACTAGAGAATCAAAAGTACAATGAGGCTAAATGATTGTTTAGATAGACTTATTTGAATTTACATAAAATTATAAGTTTTGTAATATTATTTGTTTAGGAGAACTTGTGAAAACAACTTAAGACATTATTGAGAAAGTTTTTTCAAATTATTTTCACAAAATTTTCAAAATAACTAAACTTTACTTTTGCATTTTAATATAAAATATAAAAAATAATATATTTATTTATATTTATTAAAATAGGTCGGCTTAATAGGTTTAAAATATATTTTTTATGGCATGTGGCCTGACCTATTTAACTAAATAGGCTTATAAAAACGGCTAGGTTTTTTTTATTTAAAAAAACTTGTTTGACTTTAACCTAATGTAGATTAGGCCGTAAATCCCTGTTACTTGGACTGAGCTATTCCCACTTTTAATTACGTGCAAAAGTGGGAAACTTGAAAAAAATATGAGAAATTGATTCTTCCCAAGATAGATGAACGGAGTGGCTCATGCCTAACAACTTAAAAGTTAAAACATTGAGTGTATTTTGGAGCTAGCACTAGTAGATATTAATTCACATAGACATCTTTTTTGGAAGTCGACTTTTAATCCCTACGTCATCTCAAATAAAGTTAGGTTCGCCTTTATACTCCTAATATACCCCCATTTTTTTCACCAAGGATTAATGTGTCGTCTGCATATTGGAGATACGAAAAACTAACATCTTCTCTTTCAAATTTATAACTAGAGAAACTTTCCAACTCAATTACCATTTTCTGTTAAGATTAATATTTTGATATTTATTTTAAATTAAATTAAGTATTGCAGCACATTAGAATGTGTCAACTTATTGTTAGCTATTTTATTGTTTCAGTCAAAGTCAGTACCTAGATTTTAGGAAGGAATAAACTCCTCCACATATAATGGGCAGTTAGGGAGATCGTGTGATATTATGTAAGCCTATTTATTGGCCTTTTCTTATTCAATTAAGTAAGTTTTCTAGCATTTGATTCTAACATGTGGTATCAAGAGCAGAAAATTTCACAAGAAATCAAGAGAGAAAGAGCAGATGGCGTCCGAAGGCGGCGATCGTTTTAATCTACCATCAATTCCTAAATTTGATGGTGATTATGATCACTGGAGCATGCTCATGGAGAGCCTCTTCCGTTCGAAAGAGTATTGAATTGTTGTGACCACATGTCTCGTTCAACCCGCTGCAGGAGAAGTGCCGACGGCTGCACAGAGAAAGACGACGGAAGAGATGCAGTTAAAGGACCTAAAAGCCAAGAATTACTTATTTCAATCTCTTGACAAGTCAATTCTGAAGACAATCCTAAAGAAGGAAACATCGAAACAAATCTGGGATTCAATGAAGATGAAATACCAGGGCAATGTTCGAGTTCAGCGATCCCAACTCAATCGATTGCGCAGAGAGTTTGAGATCCTTGCCATGAAGCAAGGAAAATCAATCAATGATTACTTCGGTAGGGTAATGATGATTGCAAACGATATGAGGAATTACGGTGAAGATATGACTGATGTTAAGGTCGTCGAGAAGATTTTGAGAACCCTCACTGAAAAGTGGAACTATATTGTGTGTTCCATTGAGGAAGCCAATGATATGGACAAGCTTACTGTCAACGAGCTGCAAAGCTCCCTTCTTGTGCACGAGCAAAAATTCAAGAAGGAAGTAGATGAAGAGCAAGCACTCACGGTGGCATACGGTGAGAACAATGGTGGAAGAGGACGAGGTAGCCGCGGAGGTTTCAGAGGAGGAAGGGGCAGAGGAGGCAAAGGCCGACAACCCTATAGCAAAGCAACAATTGAATGTTATAAGTGCCATCAGTTGGGTCACTTTCAGTATGAGTGTCCAAATATGGCTAAGCAAGCAAATTACATTGAAATTGAAGAAATTGAGGAGATGTTGCTCATGGCTTATCATGAATCGTTTGGGCAAAGCAAAACTGATGTGTGGTTTCTAGATTCAGGATGCAGTAATCACATGTGTGGAGACCCGTCATTATTTAATCGGTTGGAAGATGGATTTCAAAGAACAGTGCGGCTAGGGAATCATATGCAGTTAAATGTGGTTGGTAAAGGTACTATCAGGCTATACTTTGGAGGCAATAGCTATCTTGTTCAGGATGTCTTCTATGTTCCAGAACTAAGGAATAATCTTCTTAGCCTTGGACAGCTGCAAGAAAAAGGATTAACAGTGGTGATGAAGGATAATAAATGCTGCATTTATCACTCAACAAAGGGCCTAATACTTCAGAGCAACATGACCTCCAACCGTATGTTCGTTGTGCTCTCTGATAAGTATTCTGACAAGGACACAAAAGAAGTTTGTCTGCAGTCCACAACCCAAGATTCAGTACAACTTTGGCATCGGAGGTTTGGCCATCTCGGTTACACAGGATTGCACATGTTGAAGGACAAAGAGATGGTGAAAGGGATTCCGTGTCTTCTCGGACCTGATTCCATTTGCACAGATTGTCTGAAAGGAAAACAACATAGAGAAAATATTCCAAAAAAAAGCATATGGCGTGCTTCAACTAAGTTGGAATTAGTCCATGCTGACATCAGCAGACCCGTCTCACCAGCTTCAAATGGCCAAAAGAGGTATTTGCTTTGTTTCATTGATGACTTTAGTAGGAAAACATGGGTCTATTTCCTTGCTTATAAAGCTGATGCATTTGTTGCCTTTAAGCAATTTAAGAGTAAAAGTCATTGTTAGTCAGGATGTTGTGTTTAAAGAAGAGAAAAAGTGGAGCTAGGATAAGAGTTATGACAACTTGATAAACCTTGATCTAGACTGGGGAGATGACATAAATGAAGGAGAAATTGAGACTCAAGATGTTACCAATAAAGATTCTAATGTTATTATAGAAACTGTCACTGAAGAAGATAAAGCAAGCATAGATGAAGAGGGAAGTGATAGAGAAAACACTATGGCAGCGACTGCGTCATCTCCTGAAGCCACAAATACAAGGGAAGGAGATTGTGTCAGAAGGACAGGTCGTATTAGAAGGAGACCGGTGTGGATGACAGACTATAATGTTAATGATGAAGCTGAAACTGATGAAGCAAGTCAAGATCACACCTCACATTTAGCCTTATTCATAGAATGTGATCCTATTAGCTATGAAGAAGCTGCTAAGAGCCAAGAATGAAGAAATGCTATGAATTCAGAAA